CAACTTAAGTATCTAGGTATAATGATAAGTCAATTACTTTTGTAAAATTTGTAATATTGTAAATTATACTGTATATATATTATCAAAATATATAAGTAGAAGTTTATTTATTTTCTTTTATTAATATGTTTCATGTTAATTAATTATCTAGAATCAAATTAAAATAAATATAATTTTCTATAAGAGAACAGAAACAATTAATGAGAAACAAAAATAAATTCTTTCATTATTATTTAATTCTTTTTTTTTTGAAATTTTCTTGTTATTGATAAAAGAGATAACTTGAGAATTGTAAATAAAAGAAAGGAAATGATAATAATTCTTGAAGATATTCTTCGTTATTTTAAGTATAAAAACTTTATTAACAAAGAAGTCATCAAACTTCTTGCAAATATGTAATCAGAGGATTAGTGAAAGAATTCTGGAAACTAACATTTAAAGATTTATAAGAAGTTGCATTTAAAGATATTTATATTGTAGAGAGTATGCATTTAATTTTTTTTAAACTCGGAATCAAGTTTGACCATACATTTATGAAGTATTATTTTAATCAATAACATAATCAAACATACAGAATATCCAGTTGCTACTTTTGTATAATGATTTTTTTCTTTATTGCTCAGATTACAGAAAATTCATCGATTGTTAATTAGTCTTCCAACACATTCATATTTATTAGCAAAATGACTATGCCATTCGTTGAGGGATTCAATTTCTACTTCAGTCAAATCTTCGAGAGTATCCAAGGGTTGATCAACAGGAGTAAGTACGTTCAGTTCAAAGGAATTTTTTGCAAGCCCACGAGACGCATCTCGACCCGCAAAATTACCATATGGGCCATCTTATTAATCGTAGGAAAATTTATTCCGATTAGATGAAATTATAATTGCCGGAAAATCAATCTTAAGAGATATTTAATATAGCAGTACCTGGACCGTAAAAATTTCTTCCTTTTGTTACATCGTAAACTTTGCCACATACACCAATGTAAATTTTTGTTTTTACATTTCTACCATCATACTCTCTCAACTCTTTGGGGGAATATTCTCTGAAAACAGTTGTTTCAGGATGTCTCGAAATTGGGAGTTGATGTTGCGGCGGTGTTAAGTATGAATAAATGACATAGACAAGAAAACCTGATAGAAACCAGTTCAAAGGGTTTTCCTGAAGTTGTAACAAGAGTGTTTCAGTTAGCGGCGAAGACATTTTTTTTTTTTTTTTTTGAATAGTCAAAGAAGACCAAAAACAACTGTGGCGTGGTTATACCATTCCTGTGGCTTGCTTATACGACTTGGGTTGTCCAATAAAAAATGGATAACAAATGAGTCGATCACCATTCATTTTCTTTTCGTGTGAAATGCATTCAAATTATTCGAGGTCAATGTATGGCATTAGATCCCTTGTGAAGTCGAAATCTGGTATATGAAGGATAATTTATCACTCATACCAGTTCGTTGAAAAAAAAAAATGTCAACTCGTATTTTCCAAGAAAATTGATCAATTTAACTCTTACGTAGGTGACCAGCAAAGGGTATTAGGAACACCTTTTGACGTTCCCGGTCAAATTAGGCGACCCACGCCCATAAATGTTCCATCAAATTCTCGAGAAAATGAAGATAATACAATTGAATCCGAGGTGAACGTGGATGACAATTCTCGTTCTGAAGTAATTAGGCAATTCACAGAATCAGAGACGGTCTTAAGCCAGGACAATGATATTATTGCAGATTCCCTCATGGAGAAAGAGAATATCACCGCTAACGATATAGGAGAAACACAGTCAGAAGATTTTTATAGCAACGCCAAGAAAACAGTCCAACCTGCTTTGCAATATTCATCAAGTCCAAGAGTGATTTTATCTTTCACTAGTGATCCGAACAACCCTGTCGACAGTCAAAAGGTTAATTTAAATGTGCTTGGGAATTCAGATAATGCTTCAGGCGCAGATCGTCCACCATCCAACGATATCACAACGGAGAATGATACGGTTGATGATTATCAGACCGAATCATCAAAAACACGCACTTCTCGTAAAACTGCCTCTAAAAGATCAAACCCTTCTGATAATGAATCTGAACCTACAGTGGAATATGTTGAAGAATTGCAAAAAAACACCACGAAACGTCGTAAAAGTTCTAGTTCCGTGGCTTCGGTGACGTCAACTGCAACTGACGGATCCGGTATTAGTAGTTCGGCTAAGAAACGAAAACTTCCTAAATCGCGGAAACCTAATAATAAAAAACGAGTTAAACCATGGGAGGATGATCCGGAGGAAGAGATTCCACATGATGACTCGGTTGTCACCATTGCAGAATTATGTAAAGATATTAAGAGAGGAAGAAAATCGACCACCTTTAAAGAATTAGAATTAGCTAAATATCAAAAGGCGCAACAAAGACGTGCAAAACGTCTAAAGCTCAATAATCTTGAAGAAGAATCTGAAAAGTCAACTCAAAAAGACTTACCATCTAGTAATAATGACAACGAAGAACTATTAGAGGATAATCAGCAAGATGAAAATTTCGAAGACGATCCCGACGAGAATTTTGATGAAAATTATGACTATGACGAAGAGTACAACGAAGAAGGTGGAGAATACGAAAATGAAGGGGATGATGGAAATTATGATCAAGAAATAATAGGGGATCTAGACGAAAAAAATGATAGTCAAGAAAGAAACACCGACGAAGCCAACCGCGAAAATGACAGTGATAGACCAATCCTAATGAAACGGTAGAAGATTCAGATAATTGAATTTTTGATTATGCTCTTGTTTTAAATATTCTATTGTTTTTTGTAAATTAGTCGTATCTTTGCAAACCGCGGTAGTCGATTCGTAAATAATGATGGACAATATACCGTTCGGGAAGATCCTAAAGAACGGCGTAATACGTTCAATGCCGAAGGGATGGAAGTTATCGAAGAGGATAAATTTTCGCACATTGTAAACTCTCATTCCTACGCCAAACGTCCGAGAAAAAACGAAAGATGGACGAACGAAGAAACCGAACTGTTTTATAAGGTGAATATTTAAAATTATAGCTGCCAAATTTTCTAATTCGGTGTATGTATGCGGTTAAGCTGTTGAATAACTGCCCAAATTACCACTTAACAGTCATTGTCTCAATGGGGAACGGATTTTGAGATAATAGCTCAAAAGTCTTTTCATAACACTAAAACGCGTGGACAAATAAAGAACAAATATAAACGTGAAAGAAAAATGAATTCCGAGCGTGTTAATGATGCATTGGATACTCGTATACCGATTAGTAAGTTTGTTGCGCGATTTTTGTCTGATTATCGTAACCTGAATAGAATTCCGGTTCATTAACAAAATATATTATTTATGTTGAAAAGATATTGAGGAATTAGATATTCAAGTTATAGAAGAAATTGGTGAATCTACAACGACGGCTGTTACAGATTCACCAAACGAGAATCAGGAACGTAACGAAGACCAAGAGACCATGGTTATAGACGATGAAGGTCAGGTTGTTGATACGGGTGACTATATTGAAGGAGGGGGTGAAGGTGAGGATGACGATGTTAGCAGGACTCCTTCGATTATTGGAAATCAAGGGTTTGACACATCAAGTTCTAATGCTGAAGATTATTATGATGAAGATGCAGTAGAATCTATTGAAATGAGTTGAAAATTTGGAGGTCGGATCATTCCTTCTATATTTATAATTTATTTACCCGAATTTTATTCAAGGAGAACGCCCAAATGAATGTATAAAATATATATATTCTTGATTATTTAAAGGATAATAAACTTGTTATTAGATACTTCTGTTAATGTATTATTTGTTATAATTTACTGTATTTCTTTTTAAAAAAAATATGTTACAAAATTGGTTACCTATTTTGATTATAATAAATTGCAATTTACTTATTCTATAACTTGTAATTGATACATTTAGAAAATGACAATGGTTTTAAATAATCTGATTGGCCAATTAATCTTGTTATATTTGGTGGACACAATTAGGTAATCACAAAATGGTTAATTTAGAAGTACGAATTGCAAACTCAATTCTAAGAAAATTGTTTCAAAAAGAGAACGAAAACTTATAACTATCCTAATATAGTCAACCAACTAAATTGCTGAAGCACCGGTTATAATGTCGACTATTACGGGAAGAGAAGAATAATTTGTTAAATAAAGTATTGGAAAAATAATAGGAAATCATTACTTCAAACACATACTCAGTTCATTAGTAATAACGGCTTGTCTACCACGATTATAGGTGAGTGTCAGTTTATCTATCATTTCGCCAGCATTCTTTGTTGCATTTTCCATTGCACTACGTTTTGATGCCATTTCCGACGCGTGACCCTCAACCAGACCCCAATAAATAGAATTAGCAAACGCAAATTCTTTAAGATTTTCCAATACGTCATCTTCAATCTCGTACGCGTCAAAATTTCCTAGATAGTTGGATGCCAAAGAAAATGTTGAGAAAGTTTCTTTGGAAGTTATATTGAAAATCATGGAATATAGTGAATACCGGATCTAGTGAAGGTCGTTTCGGAATATACAGGAATGGATTCTGCTTCATAAGAAATAACCGATCTAAAATAATTGTAAATAATCACGGCTTGATCGAATTCAATTTTTTCCTTTAATATGGTATCGGCCACAGCGCTTGCTTCGGCATAAGTTGGTACAGATTTTCCAATTTGATTAAAAGAAAGTTTGATTTTTTCACGAACTGTACGGGAGATTTGTGCTTTTGCTTTGTCGCCTAATACTACAATTTGTGAATTTGGATTTTCTTGGGCGACTTTACGTGAATGCTTTGACACGCTTGAGTGAATGCCACCGCATAATCCACGATCAGACGAAACGGTGACAATTAATATTTGACCGTCCTCGGGTGGTTTGGTGTCGGCATTGTTGAAAAGGGCTAAAATATCGGAGAACAGAGCAATTAGATATGAGGAATCTCAAGTCGAACCTTTAATTCACAGAAACCTCATTATTGCTAACCTGTTTGGGTAGCACCGAAAAATCTTGCTACCTCCATCGCCTTTTGTGCTCTGGGTTTTTATATTAAAGAAGATAAGATAGGTTTATTTTCCTGCCATAACAACTCTAGATACTCTAAACCATATTACCGTGTCATTTTTGTTGACGCAATCATCTTCATAGATTTTGTAATCTTCGAAAAACAAGAATAGTTGAAATTTGTCTTTATGCGGCATAATTCATTTCAAACAATATAATATACCTTGGCGATACTGTTCACGGATTTTAACCGTAACTGAACTGAAGGAAAGTCAACGTCTGCTAAACTTAACAATAAAATTAATGAAAGAAGACTTACTTTCTTTCAGGGTGGCATAGTTGCGACCTTGATACCCGACGCTAAAAAAAAAAATTAAGGGCACCCGAAGGTTCGCATAGCATTGCTAGTGAATAACCTATATTCGAAGCTGTCTACAAGACATGAATTTCCATTTAATAGGGATCAAATACCTCTTATTGCTATTAACCACCACGGGGCGAATGACTCTTAATGCAAACATCTTTATTAATTTTTTTCGAAACTGGATGAAAGATTATCGCACCAAACTGCACGTGAAAGTAGTGAGTGACGTATCACATAAAATCCGAAGATTTCAAATCCTCGATCCTTCTTTTTTTTTTCATATCCATTCGCCAAAATGGGTAGGGTGAGTGTTCGACTTTAAAATTGTGGGTCTAAAAGTAATGCAAATAGGTATTTGGAAGAAGCGAGTGTCGAACTGTTGAATATCTGGACACAAGAAGTTATATGGGCCTCGAAACAGGAGAACTTATCTTTTGAAATCTTTTTCCTAGTTGCACGAATATCAAGTAGTTGGTCGTAAATTGCCAAGTCCAAAGGATCCCGTTCCAAGACTCTATCGTATGAGACTTTTCGCGCCCAATGAGGTTGTCGGGAAAAGTAGATTCTGGTATTTTTTGACAAAGTTGAAGAAAATCAAGAAAGCTGCCGGCGAGATCGTTTCCATCAATGAGGTAAATTTTTCGAATTTAATAAAGATCGGAAAACTTTTTTTTCAACATAGAAACACCTTTTAATAGTGTTCGAAGACTAACATAGTCAAAACCACTTTTCATAATCTTAAATGTAGATTTTCGAGAAAAGACCACTGAAGATTAAGAATTATGGCATATGGCTCCGTTATGACTCTCGCTCTGGTACTCATAACATGTATAAGGAATATCGAGAGTTAACCAGGTACTTTTGCCGACACGTCTTGCTTTACTCATATTGAAGCCAACATAATTTAATGAAAATCTTTTTAAATTTGAATATACAGAACAGATGCTGTTTCTTCCGCCTGTATGTTCTCATGTGCCTTAATTTCTATCACGTTTTACATGACTTACCGTTCCTGCTTCTAATAATAGATCAAGACATGGCTGCTCGCCACCGTGCCAGATTTTCTTCCATTCAAATTATACGTGTTGCCGAATTGAAAACCTCTCAGGTAATCGTGCTTTCTCTTGGTTTCACGTTGCCATTCATCTTTCATCTAACACTTCACCTTAATTTAGGTGAGGCGTCCTTACATTAGGCAACTCATTGAACCCGATCTTAAGTTTCCACTCCCTCATCGGGTTGTCCGTGGAAAGAGGACCACCTTCTTGGCCAAGCGACCTTCCACTTTTTATTAATACGTTTCTCGTCATCATTTTGCCGATTGATTTACGGAAAAAGAAAAAATACGCACC